CATGATCCTTGAGGTCCCTTCCAACCCTGGCCATTCTGTGATTCTGTGGTGGAGCAGGAGCTGCAACAGAAGGAAAGGAAGGGATGCCATCCAGAGGGACTGCTTGAGAAACAGGCCCCTGTAGACATAATGAGGTTCAACAAGGCCAAATGCAGCATGTTGTGTTTGGGTGGAGGCAATCTCAGATATTTGTACAGTCCGAGAGAAGAACTAACTCACTGAGAGCAGCACTATGGAGAAGCACTTGGGGGTTCTTGTAGATGTAAAACTTAACATAGGTGTAGCCCAGAAGGCCAGCTATCCTTGGCTGCATCAACAGAGGGGTGGCAGCAGTGCGAGGGAGAGAATTGTCCCTCTCTACTCTTCCCACAAAGATGCTCAGAGGCTGGAGCACCTCTCCTATGAAGAAAGGCTTGAGGAGCTGGGCTTGTTCAGCTTGGAGAAGGCTCTGGAAAAACCTCCTTGTAGCCTACCAGTTCTTAAAGGGAGCTTATTAACAGGGAACGAGACCAACTTTTTACTTGGGTAGATAGTGATAGGACAAAGGGGAATGGCTTTAGACTGAAAGAGAGGAGATCTAGTTTAGATATTAGGAAGAGATTCTTTACTTGGAGAGTGGTGAGGCCCTGTCACTGCTGCCCAGAGAGCTGTGGGTGCCCCATCCTGGAGGTGCCCAAAGCCAGGTTGGATGGGCCCTGGGCAGCCTGAGCTGGTGGGGGGCAGCCAGCCCATGGTAGGGGTTGGGAATGGGTGCAATTTAAGGTCCCTTCCAATCTAAGCCATTCTATGATATTCATTGTGTCTTCTGTTGAACGCACAGAATTTCCCATATAGTGTTTTTGGGATTAGGTACTTTCTATTTAATTTATAATAATTGAAGTTACTCTAGATGTTTGTGAGACATAACTAGAATATGGTACTTCCATTTCAAAGCAGCAGTGAGAAGGGTGAAGATCTATTCAGTTCTGCTCTCCAGAAATTGGCAGACATAGTCACTGATTTGCTTTGGAAATTGATGAATAGTTTTGCTTGTGCTTACATCAGATTAGCAACCTGAGTGATTGAATTCTGACACAACTTCAGTGAAGTTGGTACAATATCACTTGACAAAAGCAGATTTAATAATGAACCATCCTGCCTGTAATCAAGTACAACAATCGACATGTTTCTGTTGCTGCCTGAGTAAACTGAGCATCTCCTAATCTGAGGGGTTGCATGTGCAAATGGTCTGTTTGACTTCAGTGATGTGTGGGTATGCAAATGCTTTCATCTCATGGCTTTGGGCAATAAGGAGAGCTATACTGTTGTGTTGTTGAGGCACACACTTCTCTCATTAACGCTCTCAGATTATCTAACAAAATCCTTTCCAAGGAACTGTGCAAGCTTAGTTCTGTCACTTATCCTTAAAGGCCTTTGTGCTCAGTAAAATGCAGCAGAGAATCAAGGCATTATAAGCTTTCAGGTGTATTTCCCTCTTTGAATATTGACTGCAGTATGCACCTTATGTGAAGAAATGAACAAACAATAAAAAAACAAATTCAGCTGCTTTGTAGTCTTTGGAGTAGTCTTCACTGAGTGCTAGGATTGTAAAATATATATATATATATATATATATATATATATATATATATATATATATATATATATAGTTTTACTGAAGTTTTACTGAACTCAATTTTCTGCAGAGATCTGAGATCACTGGAACCTTATCACCTCACCCCAAACCCCAAATGCTCCATCTCCCTAGTTTTATTTTTCAGTAGCAGCTGGTGCCAATTTTGTTAACTGATGTTGTATAGCTTTGTACATCTGCTACATTGACAGGCACGGTAAAGATACTGTTGCTGGTTAGAGTTCTGATTCCATTGAGTGTTGTAAAATCAGTAACTTCTTCTCAGGAGAGGTCTATCCCAGTCTTTAGAAAGTCCTTTAGTTGTGATCAGAATGACTTATGAACATTACATACTCTGTAAACATATCCATAATTTAAAACAGTATTTTTAATACAACTTTCTACAGACGTACTGTGTGAATGAGAGAGAATGCGTTCAACGAAGTTGGTGTGAGATTTTCAGTATAATAAACAGTACTCTGTTGGTGTTTGTTTTTTACCTTTAAAAAGCGTATTCAGTACGCCAAGACAGACTCTGATATCATCTCTAAAATGCGTGGTACTTTTGCTGACAAGGAGAAGAGGAAGGAAAAGAAGAAGGCCAAGTCTCTGGAGCAGTCAGCTAATGCAGCAAATAAAAAGATAATTCAGGTAAGCAGCTTCTGTATTTAAAGAAAGAAGGGGGGAAAAAAATATTCAAACAATGTGTCCATTTTTTGTCAATGTAATGTTTTATCTTTTTTTTAGGACTAAGTATTTTGGTACTTTAAGTTCTTTGAATTGTTGTCTGTTGATTTGTACTGCTCTTTAGCACCTATTAAAGCTGCAGGAGGGGATATGATTATGTAGTCCTTAGTGCATTTTTTTATTTTTATTTTTTAACACTTTTTCTTTTGTTCTTTCTTTCTTTTTCCTCATTCCTATTGTAAGATGAAAACTAAGGTATAGAGCAAAGGTACAATAAACCAGTGTATGTGTACATATGTGTAGAATGCCAGATGGGTACAAGGGAACAATGTGATCCATTTACAATTAGATGAGAAGGAGTTGGTGTGGAATATATCTCCTGTAATGCTTGGCCTGACCAAGGCTAGCAACATTTAGCAATTTATTTGCAAAGACAGAAAAACAGACCAAGGCACAGGGTTCGAGTTGCTGTTTCTGCAAAGGCACAGTTTGTTGTCAAGGGAAGAGATGCGATCATAACAATAACTTTTTCTGCATAGAAAATTCAGTTTCCTCAGGATTTATTCAAAATCAGTTCTCATATAGTGATTTCCTCGAAGTAATTGTTTTTATTTATAATGCTAATCGCTTTAGTTATGCTTGCTAAACTGGAGTCCTCAGTGGAAGCATGTAATTTTTTCTTAGTCTGTCATGTCTTGTGTAGGTCTTCATTTTCAAAGCTACTTCTGTCTAGCTAAACTGAATTTAATGATGGATGAGTAGTGATTTGCTGTGTCTGCTGACTCAGCCATTAGTTCAATTTTTATTCTTTGATTGTCTGGTTTGGGGATTCAATGCAGTGCACATGTTGTTGTTCCCCTTGGGCATACATAAATGTTCCTTGGGTTGCAGCTTAAAAAAATAGAAAAAGCCAAGCCATCTTTCATACACTGCTTGAGCTGTACTCAAATATGGTGATGTGTGTTTATCTCTAACTAAATATCTTTTAAAAACTACCTTGCTCTTATTTAATAGGGAGCAACACAAAATTCAACCAGTGCCCCTGGGACTTCACCACAGAATCAGCAGGTAATGCTTGTTTTTGTGACCAAATCTTGTAGAGATTCTGAAGCTTAACATCTAATGGAGTTTGTAACCAATACATTTGAATAGTATGCTGTAGTAAAACAATGTGTTTTCAGTGGGTTTCAGTTGCCCCAAAGATAACACTAGTTCAGTTCTGCTGTAGATGAACAAGTTATTTATCATGGCCTCCAGCTACTTCACAGAGAAGATGTGGAAGGCCTTTTTCCAAGCTGATGTCCTCACACAGGTATCTTGGATGGCCTGTGAAATCTGAACTGGCACTATAGTTTGTCCTAACTGTGGCAGTGCTGAGATCTAGTATGGTGGACTACTGCAGTATCAGCTGTTAAGCAGAAAAGCAAAAACCACCAAGATCTATGCCTGCACATTGCATGAAGGTATCCTAAAGCCCAGCTTCTGGTGTTACAGCCAGAACGAGGGATTTGTGAGTCTTCATCCAAATAATAATGCAGACAGATTTAGAGGGGCAGGCAGCTGTGGATAGTCCACTGAATTTTGCTCTTCTCTTGTTGCAGGTGCCTGATAACCCACCAAACTATATTCTTTTCCTTAATAACCTGCCTGAGGAAACAAATGAGATGATGCTGTCCATGTTATTCAATCAGTAAGTTTTGAATGGAGAAAATTTTCCTTTGATTCCTTTCGTTACCTTTATGGTTTTGGTTTTTTTACTTTCAGTTGGCTAGCTGATTATTAGAAAAGAGAGTTTTTGAAGGTATTTCAGTGCTCTGTGTTACTGCCAACTTTACAGATGATTGGGTGCAGAATGCAAATCTGACTTATTTTTTTAAACCAATTTTGATTGTAGAAGTTATCAGTTATCAATCTGCGGTGCATTAAGCTGGTGACTAATGTTAAAGACATCAGAAACAGTTTTAAAAACAGCTTTAATTGCTTCTGCAGATGTGCAAGGCTGATTAAATTACTTCAGCAGAATGATCCTTAAGAGAGGCAAAGTTCTAAGGCCTGGAAATAGAAAAATTCTTCAATCGAATCTCTTGTTAGTAGTAACTATTATTCCAGGAGATGCTTATGGGAGGGTCTTCTGGGTGCTGAAGGGGGTAAATTATCAATCTAGAAAGCACTATCTGACTCTCCTTAAATTTATTTCAAAGGTTTCCTGGATTCAAAGAAGTACGTTTAGTGCCTGGGCGTCACGACATTGCATTTGTGGAGTTTGAAAATGAATGTCAAGCAGGAGCTGCTCGAGATGCTCTCCAAGGATTCAAGATAACTCCATCTCATGCCATGAAAATCACTTATGCTAAGAAATAACCAGACACTCTTTGGAATTCTTTGTATTGATTTTTTTTTTTTCTCCTTTTTTAATATGTGTACAGCATGTTTCTGTTCTGTGCAGGAAAGATAAGACTGTTGTGTGAAATGGCTGCAGCTCTCAGCACAGTTGCAAGACTTCTGTGGATCTACTGAATAGTAACTTTTTGTGCTAGAATACTAATTTTTATAAAATAAATTCAGCTTATGCTGTTCTCAAAATGTGTTTTTTATTGAATCTGTCTTTTTAATCTCTTAAGCTTGTGTGGCAGATGAGAATTGCTAGGTCATGGCCTGAAGCAGTGATTGAGCACCAGATGAGATGGCATGGCTAACCCACAGAGGTCAGGTGCAAGCAATGCACTTTGCTTGGCTCCTCCCTCCTCACCCTCATTTAAAGTTTAGCAGCTGAGGGAGCAGCATCTCTTTAGAGATCTTGCTCTTCTCGAGATGTCATTGGTCTTCGGACAGGGTGAGCTGACTTCTTCTGTACTGCTTTCTAAACTAAATCTTAATGAGTGCCTTTATAAGCTTGCTCTTGTCCTAGTAGAAGGCATTATATCATCTTCCATTGCTGCACGGGGGGCTAATTCGTAATATTGGTTTAACTACTTTTAAGGTGACTTTCATTTCTCAGAAGTGAGAGCTGGAAAATTACATGTGTCTTCAGAGCAAAAAGCGTGAGTGGGAATGTTTTATGTCAGCGTGTTCAGAATAAATGCAACACTCAGTCTTCAGCCTCACTATCAAGGGGACAGCTGCTTCTGACAGCTGCTTTTCACTTCTTCAGAATAGTTTTGTCACTTAAGGAAAATAGACCATTGATTTTTTTTTTTTTTTTTTAGTTTTTGCAGGCTATGGTAGAAATTGGTTAAAATTTGAGAGTTCTGTTCAACATTTTGGTTTTGTTGTACTGTGATGGCTGGTGGTAGAAGTCATTGTCCAGAAAGCACAGACAAACTTACGGTTTTGTTTTGGTTGGTTTTGATTTTCCAGTAGTCTGATCTTTAGCAGTGATTTTAATAAATAGTTTAGGAAGAGCTTTCTGGCTCATTCCAAAGACATTGCTGATAAGCTTGACAGACTATTTTTAGGCAGGCTTTACAAAATGCATGTCCTATTTCTGTGGTTCTGGTTTTTTTTTCCCCCTTCTTTGTTTAAACCATTTAAGGATTTTGTTGGACACAAAATACATTAAATGCAGTGAAGTAATCCAATTTAGTATTGGGAAAAATCACTTCAAAAGCTGAAATGTTTTGTTTGGATGGTGTAAGATGGAAGAAGATCTAGAAAGATATTTTTAGATATTTAGAGAATAACGAAACCTAAACTCTATTTTTGGTGAAACTCGCTGGATTTTCCATGGTGTTGTAGGAGAATTGCAATCAGGCTCTGGAAAATTTGTATTTCAGAAATGATATTGTGGTGTTCGTGCTTTTCACGTTGCACCATTCCTCAGTTCTTCATTGCTGTGTCTGAGTCCTCCAGTGACCATTTCAAGGAGGAAGTAAGTATGACTTCTTTCAGATGTAGTTCAGACAAACAGCTGGTCTTAAGATGTGGTACTACAAGGAAGAATGTTCAGATGAGCACAGCAGCTGCCTTGTGAGTGTTGAGGCTTCTTTGTTTCCAAAGTAAATCAATTGGAAAATGGGGAAGTAGATTGAAGTCTGTAGCTTTTCCTCTATTGCTGCAGCTTGGTGTATTCCCTGCCTGTGCTGTGTGAGCTGCAGCGCATGTGTTTTTCCCAGTTGTGCTGTGAGGTGATTGAGGTCTGATTTAAGATTGTTGTTTTTGCCAAATGCTTTGCATCCAGGAAAGCTCGATTGATTTTCATAAAATACTGTGCAGAAAAGCAGTTTTATGGAGCAGTTTCGGATGCAAACAAATTCATCTTCTACACTCACGTTACATTGCAAGATGATGCCCTTCCACAGCTGTGTTAATTCTGTATTTCTATACATGCATTTTCCATTCTTTTTAGTGAATTCACAAGTTTAATTTCACTTGCAAGTGAAAATTTTTGTGCACCTGTAAAGAATAAAAGTGAGTGTATTTTGTCATGAGCTTTATCTTACGCAGTTAGCACTGATTAACAGCTGTTTGGGGAGCTGCAGCATTGCTCTTGTTCATTTTTAAGGACTGGTTTTAAGATCAGCTTCTTTGAAGCAACTGAAGGCAACTGTGGTGTGAACAGCTTACAGTGTGTATAACAGCTTAGTTTTTTCCTTTTAGGTGCATGCATCTATTTTAATTAATATTGTACTTTTCCTCATATGCTATGAAAATATATTGGGAGGTTAGATGAATGCTACGTGTCCTCTCAGACATAACAAGTACCTCTTAAGTCAGCTTATGGTACCATTCAGTGTCATGTCTGTGAACTCTCAGCTGAGTTTGGCTACGTGAATAAATGAGAGATGGCCGCTGTCTTTGCTTAACCTGTGTATTCTGCTCTGTTTCTGTGTCCGCCTGTGTAAAAGAAATCTTACCTCTACAAGTAGCAGCACTTCCATTCTAGATTTCAAACTTAAATTGCTGAGTTGAAAGGCTTTTTTTTTTTTTACTGAGTTATATTTGCATCCATGTTTACTGTTGTGGTAGGGCATTGCTACAGACTGTCATGAGGAGGTTGCTGCCGTGAGAGTTTATGGTCCAGGGGGACAATTATGTATGTTAGTGTGTGACTGTAACAATAAGGGACTTAAGGATTTGAAAGGATATCATTTTCTTCCCTGTTGTTGGGGTCTGCCTTAATTTTTCATTCTGAAACAAATTTTGCTTGAGGTAAGCTTGAGACTGTGTATGAGTAGAGGAAAGCTTAACGTTCTTAAGTAATACAGTTGCTCCAGAACGGGTTTGGGGAAGGATTCTGTTGCATAAGTGCAACCTGAGGTTTCCCTCTTGCCGGCGGCTCCTCTTGTTGCAGTGGAATGTCACCCTGATCCCTTCCCATTGGCCAGGGGTGTTTGTCCAGATGTTAGGCTGTTCCATAAAAGATAGAGATCCCTGGGCACGGTGCGCATTTGGGAAGTGCCGCAGCAAAGAAAAATGACACAACGTGTTTATTTGATTATCTTATTTTTGTGTCTTGGATTAATGAATCCATTTGCAACTGGAATTTTTATGGACAAGCTTGCCAGCAAGAAGCTGTGTGCTGATGACGACTGTCTCTGTGAGTAATTTCGTTTTAATTTTAATTAGAATACATTCCCCAAAACAGTTGTGGGGCTTGGAAGCCGTAGTGTGACAGAAAACGACTCTGCTTATTTAGCTCATCTTTAAACTGGTCTGTCAACTTTAAAATAGAGTGGGAAGATGAATGTGGAGCATCAAATCCCGTTTTACTGCAGAAAGACTTTTCTAAGGGACCCTTCTCATGAGTGAAAGGTAAGAGAAGAGACAGAAGGATTGTAACTTATGCTAGGATTAAATGATGCATTCTGAAGCTGTTATTCTGCTTACTGGAGATGGAAAAACGAGCAGGGCAAATTATTGGCAGACATTAATTTCAGAATAACCTACTTTTGCCTGTAGAAATGGTTTTACATGTGTGCATCCACACACTTCCATATTTTTCTTTATAAAAGCATGTCTTTAAATTCATCCTTCTCATTCTTGATTTTTTTATTTCTTTTTCCTAGACACCATTTCCCTTGTCAGAGCAGAAGAGGATTATAAAGCTCCAGACTGCAGATTCATTAATATTAAAAAAGGGCAGTTGATTTATGTTTACTCAAAACTAGTGAAAGAAAAAGAATCTGGAGAATTCTGGGCTGGAAGTGTAAGATGAGATTCCTGTGTATATGAGCAAACCAGAAGTAGAGTAGCATTTATTTCTTGACAAAAATGTGTTGATGTTGAGCTACTGTGGGTTTTGAAGCAGCAACTTGGTTTTCAGATTGGTGTTTAAATGACTGAGGAGTCTAAAGGGCCTTTTTTTTCTTCTGTTTTTTGTAGCGAAGTTAAAGTTTCTTCATTAACTATTCAGTAATTATGAATTTAACCCAAGAAAAAGGGCTCAGCAATTCTTTTCTGCGACTGCTTGCTGAAACTGCAGGAGAAAAGCTTTCATTACAGTTGCTCATAAAACTTAAATATAAAGGAAGCAAACACTAATATTAGCTGAATTCATTTAAAAAAAATAATTAAAAAAAAAAACACACAACAGCAAAACTGTGCTGTTGTTTTATTCCAGAAAAGAAATACCTATCTGTATTAGAACTTGTGTTAATAGTTCATTTAATGTGCTGGTTAATTGGGGAACTAGGAGATCCAGAATCAGAGTTATGAGCACTGTTAAGTAGCTGCTTTTGGCTAAATTATGAATTAGCTTAAAGCAAACGAGGGCTGTTCTATGCACCTAATTATACATCTCCTTGCTTGAAGGTTTATGGAGAAGAGTATGAAGACCATATGGGGACAGTTGGCTACTTCCCTCGCAGTTTAGTCTCAGAACAACATGTCTATCAAGAAGCAAATAAGACCGTTCCTACAACGGTAAGGAATTTACAGAACCCCAGCTGTATATAATTATCTTGGCTGTGTAATGCTAATTTCCTGTAAAAACAAATCGTAATTGTGGCTCTTGATTGTAGCATATCACAGATGCTTAGGGATGCTATCTCTGATGCAGGCAAACGTTCTCAATAAAATCCTAACATAAGCTCTGATACCGTAGATTTCACAAATGCTGAGTGGAGGCCTTGATCCTATTACTGTTCCTATTGATTGGAATAGCATTGCTTGGAGGCCCCTAAAAGTCTGACCCAAACTTCTTGCAATGTGTTGCAAATGGTTTTCTTTTTTTTGGAGACTGAACATTGTGCTGCATATTTCAGTAAGGTGTACAAACCCCTTCTATTAATGGTCTAAATAGACTGACATTGTCATAGAGTACTTCTGTTTTACACTCCTGAACATCCTTCTCATGCTTCAGTGAAAGCAGGTCCCTGGAAATTGAATATGAAAATTCACTTTTCCACTGTTCCTCTAGAACACAGAGTATTCTTGAGTTGTTTCTACAGTAGCAGCATCACTTGGGTTAAAATATTGGAGGAATTAAAAATTAAAAAAAATCTTAGTTTTCAGAATACTGCATGAGAAAAGTATTGCTGTCTCATAGTTGTCAGTACATCTATCAAAAGGTAGAACTGCAAAGCTATTGGAAACATGTTTTTAAATAAGCTGCATTTCTGAAAGGATGGTTCTTCCCAATCCTATTAGTAGTGTGTCATGTATCAGGCAGATCTTACCATCATTAAAGATCTGAAATATGCTTTGCAGAGAAGTGGAAGAGGGTGGTATGGCTTGGCTGTTACTGGTAGCTTATATTTATGCCTAAAACACATTGCTCATAGCCTGGAAATTGTACATGGACACTTCATCCTAGCTCTTGATTATTAGGTAGGTTTCATTAAAACGAGAAATAATTGAAATGAAGTGTAATAGTTGCTAGGATTTGTGTTTTAATGTCAGACAAATTTTGCGTGAAGAAATGCAAATCATGAAACAAGCGATTGCTGTTCTTGACACTTTGTTAGGTTATTCTGAATTTGGCCAGGAGCACTGTAGCAATTAGTCATTCTTTCATGTTCCGTGACTAAAATACGTTTCTAGGCTCTTTTCTCAACAACGTGACAGCCATTCTGTTGAATGGCAAGCTGAGCTGGAAGCAGAGGTAGGTTAAAGTCATGTCTTAGTCTGCAGGCTGGCTGTGGGTCTAGAATGCGCCATTGCTTTTGCCAAGCTACCCTGCAGAACTTTAATTGGCAAGTAGAAATTCTGCAGCAAACCTTTTTGCAAAACTAATCACCAGGGATTAGTTGTTTCACCCTTAGTTCACGTTCTTGCTTCGAAGCAAAACCTGATGGTGGTACAGATGGATTCTTGTTCCTCTGTTCTCTTTTGTGTTGCAAATGTGGGCTTGAAGGATATGACTTCAAGTTTGCATTTGAAAGTGTTTAGAGCAGGTCTTAATGGATCTCTACCTGACCATACTGATTCATCCAGAAGTATCCTTTAAAGGGTACTGCTTTACATAGAGCGACTGTTGCACAGCTCTTGTGTGCTTGTAATGCTACCAGCCTTCCATTTGCAACGCTGTAGCTGGTCTTATGTTTGCACTTCTGCTACCTTCACTTCAGCTGCTGGTGATGCTTGTACCTTGCTTTCCTGGCCTCAAACCTGTTAAGTCTGTTGCTGTTGTTGCCACTGGTGTGAGAACCACCTTCTCTAACTGCCCTCTTCTCTAACCTTTCATTTATTATTTCATTTATACTATGGGAACTAGTGATGCCCAAAGCTTAATGATCAAGCAGCCTGCAGTTCCTGTCCACTGAAAGCACTGAGTTGGCAATTTCACAGGTATCTTGATGGGGGGACCTGCTGCACTAAAGAGGAGCACGAAAGAGGACATTAGTACAGGGGGTCTCTGTCTCCTTCATTTTTCCCCATAGTAACTGTCAGAACTGCAGTCAGTGTATGTCATCAGCAGCAGACCCTCTTAATAAATTCTAGTGCTTGTGAACTAATCTCAACATCCTTTTTGCAACACGAGGCAATCCATACCTTTTGCTGCTGTTCCAAGTGATAAATCTTATACAATATTTTCTTCCCAGTGCTGCTACTTTTGAGTCCACTGAATACAGTAGACTCCTTAAAATAGATTGTGTACTACTGAGGTGTTGGATTGCTTGCCATCCTTCAGTGATTTTAAATTGGTCATTTGCTGGCTAAAATGAGAATACTTTTAATGCCAGTAAGCCTTTGCTCTGAACCACTTTCCAGTGGACAGCTACGTGTGATAGGCTGGTCTAATGTAAATGTTGCTGAGTTTGAGCATACAAGTTGTTAATTCCTTGCAGTACAATCAAGATGAAAGCTATGTAGCCAGATAAAATACCAGCAGAAAGCTAGATGAAAGCATATGCTATGAAAATGTATCCCTTGCTGGAAGTTTTCAAGCAAAATGCAAACTTTTTTTTTCTAGTCAGGTTTCTCTGTAGCAAGTGAATCACAGCCTCAGTCAAATTAAGGCATCCTTTTCATGTCTGGTTAGGAATAGTTTAAGGAGAAGGGGTTACATACAACTCAAATCCAAGTGTGGATGTAGGAAAACTAAACAGAAAGATAAAGGAATTGTTTGAAGAAAGAAAGAACATGGCATCACCCAATCCACTTTAAAGATTTCTGTCAGGAACAAATCATCCCAACCACATAAAAGGAGTTGAAAGCAATAAAAGCTTTCTTCTCCAGAATTCTGTGGAGTTAATTTATAGAGAACATACTTTGAATACATTAGCGTATTCAGTGTTTGCATCTACTTATCTACCTTTGGGGGATGATAAAGGAATGTTAATCCTTCAGTAATCTCAAAACATCTTTCCTTTCAACTCTCTTTCAGGACATTGATTTCTTCTGTGAGTAGTGCTGAAGATGGCTGGGCAATCTCTAGGGTGCTATCAAGAAATGCTGACAAAGAAACTTGGAACCCTCCACCGAACACTAGCTTTTTTTTTTTTTTAATACCTAATTGTAAAATAAGTCATCTTTCAAGTGCAGAAGTTGATTTAAAGGCAGTAATTTGGGGTGAGGAAAGTAGTCTTATACGGGATTTATTCGTTAGAAATTATTTACCTGCATATACCTGTGAATGCCTCTATAAGCCTTTGCATTACTTTGAGTAGTGCAGATTACATGTAGAATTAAATGTGCCATCTTGATCTGCGTTTTCCTTCCATAACCTTATCTAAATATTAAATAAACATTGAAAAAGCCCTTTCTTTGTTGAGCACTATGTGAATTGTTGATTGAAATCATTTTGCTTGCAAGAATTATGCTGCAATGGAGAAACTGGCAGGAAGAAAACCAGGAGCATTATTCTGTGCAAGGCGCGATCCCTGCCCCCAATGCCGATAGTTATGGGATGTGCTCGAGCTGAAGCATCTCTGTGCTGCCACAAGAGGGAGTGCACCGAATACCTCATGTTGTTCACATTTCTGCAAACATTGGGTTTATTTTCAGTAGAACAGGTTGCCCAAGGAGGCTGTGGATGCTCCATCCCTGCAGGCATTCAAGCCCGGGCTGGATGTGGCTCTGGGCAGCCTGGTGTGCAGGCTGGTGACCCTGCACAGAGCAGGGGGTTGGAACTGGATGAGCATTGTGATCTTTTTCAACCCAGGCCGTTCTGTGATTTTATTTTCTAGGTGGGGAAGCGCTGTGTGAAAGGTCAGTGAAGCCTCTGAAGCTACCTCGTTCCCTGTGCTGGCAATATGGGGGGAGATGATGAGCAAGGGGCAAAAAGAAGCTCTGGTCACGTTTCCGGTTAGGTGTATCAATTCTACCATTTCGGAACAGGCTGCCCGGGGAGGTGGTGCAATCCCTGTCCCTGGAGGTGCTCAGATGTGGAGATGTGGCGCTGCAGGACGTGCTTAGCAGGCAGATCGCAGGAAAGCGCTTCGCCTCAGGTGCGATTCGTAAATGTGGCTCGGAGCGCCCTCTGGCGGTCGGTCAGAGCCGCACCTCAGCGCCGGGTGCGCCGCCTCTGCCACGAGAGAACATTCCAGAAGGTCACGGGGCGGGCGGGTTGTGTCGCACACCACTGTTAAACGGCGTTTTTGCTGCGTATATCGAATTTTTGAGTTCTACTTAAAGCAGATTTCCAAGACAAGTGTTAGTAATGCATCCCACCCGTGGGCATGGTTGAAGTTACAGGTGTGTGAAGATGCACGCAGCAGTCAGTGTTTGCAAACAGCAGACAAAGCGGATTCAATTGCACTGTGGATATCAGGAATGTAAGTGGTGAGTTCTAGCAATTGTTATTGGAAAATGCAAGCTTTTCCTGCAAGGCTTCATCTCAGTTGCTGGCAGTTAACTAAAGTACCCAGTTCTGTGTAAACGGATATGAAGATTTCAGTTTCTCCACAAAACTGCCACAGAAAAGTCCAGGACAGAGTGGACTTTTGTGGTGTAAGATGAGACTGGTGCTTACAGACCTTGACACTGTGCATAATGCTTAATGCGTGTCCCTGCAAACAAAGCTTGCACACGTGGCTGCTTTCAGCTCCCGTTTGCTCTTCAGCCACCTGAGGTGAACTACAGATGCTTTAGAACAGGTGCAACAGCTGGGACACAGAATGCTTCCAGTTCAGGATGCATACAGCAGGGACTATGCACACACACACGTCGGTACCCTTTCTGAACATGCACGAAGGACAACATTTGGCCTATCAGTGAAAAACATCCTGCTATGACTTCTTCAGCAGTTACACTGAGCCTGGGGCCGTCGTGGCAGCGTGTGGACAGCATGTATTTCTTTTTGCTTTTTTCTAGCTCTCTTCAGAGTCTGCGCTCTGGTTGGTCACCTCCTCTGCGCAGAAAATAACTCAGCGGGCTTTCAGGGGGCATCAGAGTCTGCTTGACAACCTAATTTCAAGGAAAGTAAGATAAGGGTTCAGTTTGCGAACCACTGCATGGTCTTCGTAAAGCACCTGGCTGTGGAAAAGCATTGTAGTGGTGAAGCTACTTGTCTGCTGAGTTCAGTCTCTGATGTACAACTGTCAGGTGGCTTCCAATTTAATGAAGCTTTACAGCACTCTCTGTCTGCCTGGTGTCATAGGTACTTGTTTTATATGATGACATTGTGTAAAACTGTCATCTCCCAAGCACTGGTGGCCTATGCTGCAGCCTGAACTCTGGTATGACAGGGTTGATCAGTTTATAGCTTCATCATGTAATGTATTGGCAGGATCCTCTTTTAAGTTGTCCGAAGGAGACTTGTGACTTCGTTCAGTAGTCACCAAGGATGTGATATAACAAATGCAGCCATTCCTGATCTTTAGGCTGCTCTCTCGGAGGGCAATCCCTTCACAGTGTGAATGCTGAGCAGAGAAAAGAAAGCATGCTGGATGCGCTCGCTTCGCAAGGGATGGTGTCTCTGCTCAGAAGGGCAGAGGTATTGCAGTCTGACACTCTCCCTCTACAAGGGATTTTTTTCCATTTCTGCTCATTCTCTTAATCAGTGCTTGGTTCTATTTTCAGTACGCCGCTTTTCATCATTTTATTGCAAGTGTCACGAAGTTTGATTAGTTTTAAATTCTCATTGTTGAAGCCTGATTGTTACTTGAAGGTCTCTCTCCTTTTTAGAGCAAAGTCCAAGTTTCTACCCTTAGAAACGTAAGGAAGTGTGACAACCATAATCTTAACAATTCTAGCACAGAAAGTAAACCAAATGATCCCAGACTTGTCTGAGATCTGGAGCAGGGAGGAAGAAATGGCAAGGGAGCACAAGACGTCTGCAGAAAACTTTGGAGTGTTTGCAGTTGGCAGCACTGTTAGTGTAGGCCTGACAGCTAAAAATCAATAGTTTTGACACTGAACATGGATCTGCTTTCTGCATTGCACATTCTTAGGTGAAGCTTGTTTCAGAACAACACAGCTTGCCATTCGGACCCCTTAGTGTTCATGCTGCAGTGTACCCGGTTGAAATAAACAGGAGCTTACAGGAGAAGGAGAGGAGGATCAATATTATGCTAGCAGGCAGTGGAGGATGCATTTGATTTTCCAGTTTCTTTCTTTTTCCCCTACAATGATGATTGTACTTGCAGTTTCCTCATTGAAATCACAGCAGTTTCACTGCTACTGCTTTAGTAATAAGTAAAAAAACATCTGACATGCCAGGTGTGTTATTTGTCTGACGGGACCTTATAGTCTATTTCCCTTCATTGTATCCCACCACAGGGGAAGTAAACTCATAGCTTGTTTTAAGTTTTGTGTTTAAACAATGTTGTTTCCAGCTCTTAAGGTGGCCTCAAACTGCATTCTTAACTTGTAATCTCTCGCTATCCATTTGGGTGGAGATTCAGAAGCCTTGAAACTAAACTGTAGTATATATTTTTTTTTCAGCAAAGTTAATTTTGGAGAAGTGTGACACCATACGTAACTATCTGAAATAAAAACCTTGTAATTAGGAAAGCCTGGGGATTTGGGCCGGGGATTTGATGCTGCTGCACAGTGAGAGTGGTGCTGTTCCTTGAGCTCGGGCTGACATCTAGTGGTGCTGCTGCCTGGTTATCTTGTTGGCTCTCAATGAGATGCAGAACATGCTCAAATTAAATGGCTGCAGACAAGGTTTCTGATGTGGCTTGTTGGTAATAGTAAGAGTGACTCAGTATATGAAGGATTGAAACCTTATTTGTGATGGCACTAACATTTTACACTGGAGATTTTCTAATTGTATACGCTGCTGTAAGCATCTTATTATCTATTCTGCTAACAATTAGCTCGCCTCAGGGTTTGTGACAGATGCTAAGTTCATTAAGGGCTTTCCCACAATGTGTTTTCTTTTTTTCCCCACAGAAAGTGTGTTCTTGCAACCACAACTTCATTGTGTCACTGCACTGTGATGACTCTAGTGCTGTGTGTTCCTGAAGTACAGCTGGCCCTATGGCAGAGGCAGTGTGTGAGATGCCCGTGCCCACAGCATGGTGATGTTACCCTCAAGTCCCTTTCTGCACGTGGGCTACAGCATGAGCAAAGGAAGGCAAAACTACATCCCCACCTTGACAGAGAGAAGGCAGAAGACAGAGGCTATGAAGACAGGTTGGAAGAAGAGGCCAGGCTGGCAGGTGAGGCAGATGCAGGACTAACAGAGGATGAGGAGTGGTGTTTGATCACTTGAATTATCTGATGACTTGTGCTCTTTGTTACTAGAGCTGGCTGTTGGAAGAAAATGTCTTTCTGATGAAAATTTGACCCATTTGTGATCCTCAGAGGATAGACTTGTTCTGTGGCCAGGCATCGCTGACAATGAAACATAGGAGATGTGTTCCTGACATTCAACTTCCAGTTGCGTTGAGTCCTTGAAGAACACAGCACGTGTGCAAATAGGTTGTTCTGTGGCACCTAAGTGGTAGTGGAGGAAAGGTGTGGCTAGAAAGTAGGCTTCTGCTTCAAAGCAAAAATGCCAGTGTGGATGTACCCCGAGTGTTTCCCAAAGAATGGTAGAGGAATGGTTTAAAAATACTTTACTATCAGAACTGGTGGAAGTAATGTTATCCAACTAGTGAAATCATTACCTGATGTGCAGTAAGTCAATCTCACAGAGATGAGATACTGTTCTGTTGTGAAGTTGCACAAGTGTGCACAAGTGTGCTAGGTGGCCTCCCACAAATCTAACACACCCTGGGATATTTGTGACACTTTTTTATCCTTATTCTTTTCACTTGGCCACTACCCTGATACAGCCTTTGGCTTACAACTGGTCAGTTAAAGGTAGGGCTAATCTCCCTTCTTGCCAGCTATGCTAGTCACACTACACAAGTTTATTTTAACTCCCAAGATCGTCCTCTAAATGTTCCTCTTCAAGGAGGTATTCTTTGTTTTGGGTACTACATGTTGTACCTGTATAATATTAACTGCTGGTTCTGTATAAGCATTAGCTGTCATCCCTGTCAGTATTTGGATCTCATTTATGTTCTATTTCAAGTATAAACTCTTCTGGATCTTTCCTTTCATTTATGCTCCTGTTTTCCATATTAGCTTTCTCTAAAACCAGTATTTTTTTATTGTTGTTTTTTCGTAGAGAGTAACAATGTATTCATAAAAACCTTTATATCTTTCCAATCACACTTATACTTCAAAATAATCATTTGAAGGACTCTATGAACTCTCTGTGTTCTCCCCATGTGATCTAGAATTCTTTTCAATTCATCAAATCAGAGGTAGAACAGCAAACCTGCATCCATACAAGCAATCCAGTAGATTTCACAG